AAAAAATCTATGATATAATGATATAATCTATGATATAATTTAGTTCCATAAAGAAGAAATAAACTATAGAAATACTGTAGAAAAAAAATACTATAGAAGCAAGTTCATATAAAAAGTAGTATTTCTAGATTCATTACAACTGAAAATTACACAAGGCTATTCTAAGAAAACAGTGTAAAAGTTTAATCACACACCTTAAATTCTTCAATTTTGTTTGAAATTTCACACTGTAGCTGCTCTTCCAGCAATCGTATTTTATCATCCTTAATATGAACACTATAGGAAAAAAGCATCAATTAAAAACACTTCACATTCAAAAATTTACATAACCTATGTACACAACTATCAGTTATTAAGTAGCAACATTTTCTACAACAACTATACTTCAACATTAATGTATGAATACATACAACAACTTAATCACCTTTTTTGAATCTTCTCTAATTCATGTGCTGCAGCAGCCTGTGTTTGAAATAAAATAAGAATTTTATTTCTCAGGAAACACTCAAAACTACTTAAATTTTATTTTCTATATTTAATGTAAAGTAATGGCAATATCACACATTTCTATAATATGTTTTACAGTCCAATATTTTTTACTTCTCCCTGATCTATCTTTACCCTAATAAAGGAGTTGTCCTCTTTAAATGGAAAAAGGCTAAAACAAGGTAGCTAAAACTCACTACTATAATATCTCAGATATGATCAATTCATCAGATCTAACATTAATTTCAACATGATAGTAACATCTAGGTAGGTTGTGAAGAGGAGGCTTTCACAAACACATCACACAGCCAAACACAACCATTAATTATTTACACAAATAAAACTTAAGTTCACAGTACCAATGAAAATAATAGACAAAAATTTGAGATAAATATTCAAAAGCAATAAAGATCTACCTGCTCATTTGCCAGGGCCTGTAATTTCTGTACTTCAGCTTTTAATAAGAAATTCATATTCTGTATATCCTAAAGAAAAGAAAAAGAATACCATATTAAATATATTTCATATAATTAAATTCATGGCTTGAAGATATCTATTCTATTTAAGAATTAAGCAAAGGTCTCAAATTATAAGTATCCTAAATCAGAAAGAAAAAACATCAATAGCTGTTAGCATATTTCCCAACTTGCTGCGAATTATATCATGTGAGAAAAGCCATTTGAATTTTTTCTCTTAGAGAACTAAAGAGTATTTTATAGTTTAAAAAGGGGTTACTTTTCAAAAGAAGTGGAGAATATTTTCCATATTTCATATAAATTCATACTGAGAAGAATCAGGGTAATTTAGAGTTCTGCAAAATATTGCAATCATTTATAAGAATTATTGTACCTTAAGTTCTTCCTCTTTACTTGCTAAATGATCATGTTCATTTGCTAAAGAGTCTTCAGTCTGTTTTATCTGCTTATCCTTTTCTGCAATCCTTTAAGAGAAAACACATTTGTACATTTCAATAAATATTTAGAAGTCACATCACAAATCAGAGGATGAAAAGCTTTTTAAAAAGGGTCATACTTTCCCATATAATTATACCTTCTATTTCTATAATTCCTTTTCAGTTTACTAATAACTGACTCACGTATTACTATAACTCCTTAAAATACATAGCCCTATTTTAAAATTAAAGGTCAAAAAAATTAAGTAGTTTAAGCACATAAGTCTAGCAATGTCAAACCAGATTTTAGGTCTACTGAAACCAACTGATCCATGTCTATGTAAAATTATACAGAACAAAATAATACAGAACTTTGTTTTGTGTATTCTACCAATAGGTACACCCAGAGTAGCTACAATTACTTCCTAGTTTTCTTCCACCACTCTCTCAACACAATTACTTCTTCCACATAATTTCCAACACATACCAAATGAAGGAAAGTTTCCCCAACTCTT